GAGTGGACACCGCCACGCGTCTAGAATGAACACCGCCACGCGTCCAGAGTGAACACCGCCACCCGTCTAGAGTGAACGCCGCCACGCGCCCAGGGTGTACGCCGCCACGCGTCCAGAGTGAACACCGCCACGCGTCCAGAGTGAACGCCGCCACGCGCCCAGAGTGAACACCGCCACCCGTCTAGAGTGAACACCGCCACGCGTCCAGAGTGAACACCGCCACGCGTCCAGAGTGAACGCCGCCACGCGCCCAGAGTGAAAACCGCCACCCGTCTAGAGTGAACACCGCCACGCGTCCAGAGTGAACACCGCCACGCGTCCAGAGTGAACACCGCCACGCTGTTGACGAGCCTCACCTTGTGATGTGGGCAGGTCGCTTCTGAAAACAAAAGCGGTACAGCAGCTCAAACGAGCTTGGCCTGGTAAAAAAAATGAAATAAAAACTGCGTGAATATTTAAAAGTAAAACAAACTGACAAAGTGGCGAGCCCCGTGAAGGACAAATTAAACTTAAGCAAGAGAATTGAAGCAAACGCGATCAGGCGAGGGCAAGAGGCAAGGCCACGCGTGGCTAGGCCCCGTGCTGTAAAGTTTCAACCTGGACATCGCTTCCATGCTCGCTGCTACTCAATTGACATCCCTGAGAGAGAGAGAGCGAGGCTCTACCTCGGTAAACAAAAACAACCACCACCACAACCACCACAACAACAACCACCACCACCACAACCGCGATGAGAATTTCTCACCTCGGATTTCAGTGCACGGGCGGAGCAGCAGCTTCCTGTTATCTCGTGACGTCACGCGGCAGCAGGAGACGACATGACGTCACTTGTGGGGAACGATAACAATAGGCGGCTCCGTACGTGACATAATTTAGGTGAATAAATTATGTTAATGTGCCAGCCCATATGTGGAGGGATGGGGGTGGGTGCTGAACCCGTCGCGACAGCTTTCACGAAATAATTATGTTAATGAGCCGCCAGTCACTGGGCGTGGCCTTGCCCAAGTATGGATTCTACTTGAACAGAAAACGAAAGCGACCCAGGTAGAGTGTGACACACTCAAGGGCGCCTTGGACGGGGTGGGGTGAATACCCTGGTGACATGACGTCACTAGCGAGGTACACCTCCCCCTGGCGTTTCACTCCGATGAGGTAATGCTGAGTGGCGACGTCACAGAGCGGGGTTGGAGTTTAAGTTGATTTAGATTAATTTTCCATTGCCCCCTCCCTTTATCCGAGACCCCTTGGGTGTGTGAGCTCAGCAACAACAACGTGAACATTATTGTGAGTACCCTGTGTGTACGTACGCACACCGTGTGTACGTACGCACACACAACGCGCAGGTCATTGCATATTTGTGTCAGGGTCAAAATTGGGGTAATTCCAAACATTATCCAGAAACTACACAACGGAGATGGCGCTTCAATGATCGCCCCCTACCGACAGACTCATGTCCACGTGCAGGCCGGTGCAGGGCCACCTTGTGCCACACAGGGGCAGCTGCCACTTAGTGGGGGGGGGGGGGTCCTTCGCTTGTTTGAGATGAGATTCGATACGAAACACCGAGTTGCTGAGGCAATTAGGCAAGCGACTTATGAGTGCAAATGTGATGTTGGTAACGTAGTGAATGCTTGGGAGCTTCATTGTCTCTCGCTCCTGCTGACAGATGTACCCAGCCCACAGCTCCACAGATACCAGCCGCTCCTCCTGTGCAGGTTCAGCTACGTACAGTGCAAAAGAAGTTCCAGATACACACAGAGACTCAGAGAGACCAACAGATTAGCATGGTTCGCTACGTATGGTGCGAAATAAGTTCAACGTACACACAGAGACTCGGAGCAAGTTTGAGTCGCGTGCAGTCGTGGGCCATGAAAGTTGAATTGGCGCATGTTGCTACTGACAGTAGTTGAATACGGTTGGAAAGATGCTGATAGAGACACACACAGAGACTGACAAGAGAAAGGTGGAAGAGATTCCTCAATCTTTGCCCATCCCCGGAAGTCGTTCCAGTTTCTATTTATTTCATTGTATGTGGTGTGTACGTGTAAGCAATGTGGGATATCAATGTAGACAGATATGAACAAGATCAGCAGACAAGACGTCTTTCATACTCATTGGTTCTTTGAGTGAAGTCACGCAGGTAGAAAAAATAAAATAAATCACGACGCTTCTATCGCAACACGAGCGGTCGTCCTCAGGCGAAAACATCCAGACATTGTCGCGGCAGAAGTCACGTGAGCTACGGCACGTGACAAAGATAAGGTGACCCCCCACCCCCGTGGCTCGCCCTGCTCAGCTGAGCATTGTTTTAATGTGGTGGGCTCACGCGAAATTAATTTCTGGAAGATGAAGGTACTTTCAAAACCCACTGGCTAAACTCTTTTATATAAGTGTTGTGTCCTTAACTAACGACACGTAGACGTCTGGTTGAGGCAACGCGTTTATTATAACTATTTTGAACTCTGCTCTACACACTACTGTACCACGAAGGAGTACGGCCCCTTCCACTTGATAGCCTACGCGAGTGACAGCCTCCCTTCTATCGCAGCCTGCACACTCCGGGCTCTGCTACACACGGGTCCCCTAGCCCGGCGTTAAGGGAAGACTGGACGACCCGTCCCAGCCAGGGTACGGGAGCTCACCTCTGGTCCGCTACAACCCGGCTCTAACAAGAGCCCTCGGTTGAGGGTCCCTGGGTGCTGGTCCAGTCTCAGGTCTTCGGATGTCTTCAGGCTTGAGTTGGTGAACACTGCCCGGCCGGTCCAGGGGGCCGGGCTTTTAACCCCAGGTCGGGGTCACCCCTCCCCTCCTGAACCACCAACCCCCCCTCCCAGAACCTTCTGGAAGGTCTTATCTTAAGGGGCCTTAGAGACGGGTGGGGGGTCAGGGATGTTATTCTCGGGTCACGGGGGTGGGGGCGGGGGTTTACTTTGGTCGACCCGTACACACCTCACTCTCTCTCGGCTGCCCCCTGTTGACCCGTGAACGTGGTGGCAGGTCAGCTGACAGCGCCTTGTTATGGCGCTTACGCACAACTTCGTGACTAACGCTGCACGTTCCGTCGTTTTCATGCAGGGGGCGCTGCAAACCTACGCGTCCCCTGCATGAACGATGGAGGCGCAGGGACAGACGTTCGATCGCATTGGAATCAATTTGCGGACGGCGGTCTTCTCGCACGGCCAGCTCTGCGTCGCCTCATCTGGATCCCGCGATCCCAACCAGGTGAAAGTTCGCATCGAACCAAACCACCGGCAAAGCCATCTACTTAATGACGCGAGAAAATTCACACGAAATATCGTTTTCAATTAATAAGCTTTTAATGAAGAAATACAATTAACTAATTCAAAATAATACAATTCAAAGTTGTTTCATTTTAAAACTTCAAAACGGAGCATCGGGAGCTTGCGTGGAGGCGTCGTTCGTGTGCAATTTTTTTTCGTGACTTTCCTGGCCCCAGGCCGTAAATGGTTGTGAGGGGCACCGCAGACAATCTGGCTTGCTTCAACCCTTGGTTGTGAACATCCAGACGTTAATCAGCAAGGACCATTTCTTGTCCTAATTCGAGAAAATCTACATCAACACGTAATACAAAATTATAATTCGTGTTGTAGAGAATGTATCTCCTCTACGTGTAACTTTTGAGTGGTATGCCTTGTAACTGATGAATGATCCGAGTGTGCTCCCTATTTCAAAGACAATGAGTTGCTCCAGAGGGAGAAGCTTCCTGAAACATAAAATACCCTTTGACCTGTATCACAAGAACAATGAGTCTCACCTGACTTATCTATACAGGTTACTTCCAAAACACACACTTTGTCCTAACATCACTTATTCAATGTTTGACCCTTATACACAAAATGTTACATGTACGTACACAATCAGACAAGTATTCATTCTAAATTATTGACAGGCATCTGAACAAAATTGAATTACAGGTGCACCCCAAGCCTGTTCCCACCCCCCCCCCCCCCCCCGCTTCTGTGTATATGCAAGATGTGCTGTTTTTGAGCTGCCGCAAGATGAGCTGCCACTCTCCTTTTGCTCCCCCCCCCCCAACCTTATTTCCTATTTAAGCTTCTGTTCACCTCTCTCTCTCTTTGCCTCTCCGTCTTTCCTACTGACCATGTACCTCGTATTTTCACTCTGTCTATGCTGGTTTGTGCAATCCAGAAGTTGAACACGAAATTTAACACTCTTCTGAAATTCGTGGTCCGCCAGGAAGTGTCTGTGTTGTTGGCCTGACTGGTTGTGCTTCACATGTTTTTTAGGTTTGTTAAATTCTCGTCTCTCATCTTTTTTACATCCATGATTTGTTCTTGCCATGATTTGTCCTTGACACCTGGTGAAGATCGCTTGTGTTGTGATCTAAACGTCGTGATATGTTTTGTATTTAATATAATTTTATTGTATTTCTACATACGTGACTTTACCGAAAAAACCAATGAGTAAGGTTACATCGCATTAACAAGAAGCTATTTTAAAAAAATATGCACCGTCTGCTTAACAGTGTATGTACAACGTGCTATTGCGCCAAAACGAGTTGGCCATTGCATGCTGGCGTCTGCGTCAAAATGTATCAAATTCTAAACATTACCTACAAACTACACAACCAAGATCCCACATCAACCATCACCCCCTACTGACAGGCTCTTGTACACATGCAGGCCGGTGCAGGGCCACCACCTTGTGCCACACAGGGGCAGCTGCTATTTGGGGGTGCTCTTCGAGTGTTTGAGACAAGATACGATACAAAACTCCGAATTGCCAGAGGCGATTAAGCAACCACCATATAATTGGAATAATTAGAACCTTGTGAATGCTTGGGAGCTTATTGACTCTCGCTCATGGTTAGAGATCTACCCAACCCACAGGTCCACAAAGACTGGCTGCTCTTACCCTGCAGGTTGAACCTAGGAATTAAGTGTTCAACTTTATTGTTGTCATTAAAGGCCTGTGACAAAGGTGCATCTATTGGAGCGACATCGTCTCAAGCTTACACATCTAACGGGTCTCCAATTGACTTCGTATTGTCTCGGAGGAAGTCCACCCACACCTCCACTTCCACAAACTGCTGAGAATTGCCTCGCTCTGCCTCACAGTCAGAATTCTCCTCCTGCTTCACGTTTCCTCCATTAATGTGTCGGTCCGACTTTGGAGTTGAATCATCTTCACATTTTACCTTCACTTCTTCGCTCTTCACCATCACTTGTTCATATTTCACCTTCACCTCTTTATATTTCACCTCGATACCTTTAAAAGTGTCCAAGCTTGGATTTTCTTCCGGTTCTTGTTTCATGAGGGATGGGCTCATTGCGCCACTTTGACTTCCACAAGCTGATTTCAGACTCCACTCCTTGTGGGTCTTCTGATGCTTGCGAGTTCTCTTGTGTTTTTGAAGATGTGGTGACTGTGCAAACGCCTTCCCACACACACTGCACTTGAAGGGTTTCTCTCCTGTGTGTGTTCTCTGGTGTTTTTTAAGAGTAGATGAATGTGCAAACGCCTTCCCACACACACTGCACTTGAAGGGTTTCTCTCCTGTGTGTGTTCTATGGTGTTTTACAAGAGCAGATGAATCTGAAAACGCCTTCCCACACACACTGCACTTGAAGGGTTTCTCTCCCGTGTGAGTTCTCTGGTGTACTTGAAGATGTGATGAATGTGCAAACGCCTTCCCACACACACTGCACTTGAAGGGTTTCTCTCCCGTGTGTGTTCTCTGGTGTTCTACAAGAGTAGATGAACGTGCAAACGCCTTCCCACACACACTGCACTTGAAGGGTTTTCTCTCCCGTGTGTGTTCTCTGGTGTGTTACAAGAGGAGATAAATCTGAAAACGCCTTCCCACACACACTGCACTTGAAGGGTTTCTCTCCTGTGTGAGTTCTCTGGTGTGTTACAAGAGTAGATGACTGTGTGAACGCCTTCCCACACACACTGCACTTGAAGGGTTTCTCTCCCGTGTGTGTTCTCTGGTGTTCTACAAGAGTAGATGAACGTGCAAACGCCTTCCCACACACACTGCACTTGAAGGGTTTCTCTCCCGTGTGTGTTCTCTGGTGTGTTACAAGAGGAGATAAATCTGAAAACGCCTTCCCACACACACTGCACTTAAAGGGTTTCTCTCCTGTGTGAGTTCTCTGGTGTGTTACAAGAGTAGATGACTGTGTGAACGCCTTCCCACACACACTGCACTTGAAGGGTTTATTTCCCGTGTGTGTTCTCTGGTGTGCTACAAGAGCAGATGACGGTGAAAATGCCTTCCCGCACACACTGCACTTGAAGGGTTTCTCTCCTGTGTGAGTTATCTGGTGCCGTGTCAAATGTTCAGTACTATCCGTGCTGTTTGCACGCCGGTTGCATTGATGCCTTTTTGCACCGAGCTGCGCTGAGTGCCTTTGCTCCATCAGACAAATTCTGCAGAGGAAGCGACAGCTGCAGAGAGAAAAAAAAGAATATCCACACCATCTACACGTCAGTATTGATGCACAGAGGAATGCATATACACAGTCAAAGGTGACTTACATGTCTATACTTATTCATATATTTATGATATAGTGAAAAAGTGTCCCCAATTCATCACACGGGCTGTTATGGCACACAACGAGAGGGCGAATGTCATAAACATGCCTGGAAGCCCTCGTATCTTCAAAATGAATGTTAACCCAAAACTCCGAGCACACAATTTCGGCTATCTGGCTTCAAAAGGAATATTTATGAAAGCTAAATTCAGCTGACATACCAAAGGGTGTTGAAAATAATACTGTTTGTGTTATGCAGAAATGCATAAATTAATGTTCAATCGCAACTTAGAGGTGTGAAGCCAGGCACAGATGTCCTTGAATGCTGGGATGAACAGTTCTGACTTCAACTGCACATGTGCTGTGATAACTTCCTGACTCCATTCTTACAAAAAGTTCCAGAGGAAATAAAAAATAAACTGTTTTGATATAACCTCCGTGCTCAATAGAGTTAATAGACTTTACTGCAAAATACAAACTTGACCCTGTCACACACTCAGAGGTGGAGCCAGGATTTTCAGGAAGATGGGGCAACCCCTTCAGCAATGAAAAATGATAGGAGTTGTTAGTAAGTAAGGAGTTGTTAGTAAGTAAGTTGTTAGTATGTAAGGAGTTGTTAGTAAGCGAGGAGTTGTTAGTAAGGAGTTGTTAGTAAGGAGTTGTAAGGAGTTGTTAGTTAGTAAGGACTTGTCCCTTGCTTTTTATTTGACGCGTATGATAGGCACCGCGCTCGCTGAAAGTGTCTGCCATCAGGGAAGTCGTGTACTGTATACACAACTGCGCACAATTCTGTGAGTCGCTTGTAACAGCTTTGCCGTGACTTATTGCCAATTTTGGACTCGGACTGTTGTCCTCTCATAGAGTCCCTGGCACGTAATAATATGCCAAACGGTGGCAGTGGGGGTCGCAAAATGCTGATTTATCTATATATATAAAAGGGAAATGTGTGGATATGTGTGTCTGTTCGAAAGTGTTTAGCATACTTCCCAACATGCTACACACTTGAAATTTGGCATGTGGGTAGGTTCCGTACTGTACACAATGAACAAAGTATAAAAATATAAGGAGGGAGGAAAGACGGACAGGGAGGCAGAGAGAGAGAGAGGGGGAGGTGCGGAGGGATGAACAGAAGCTTAAATAGGAAATACGGTTGGAGGGGGAGAGGGGCCAGAGCGAGAGCGGCAGATAAAAAACGCACATCTTACACATACAAAACGGCAGCTCAAAAAAGGACCACCTCTTGTAAATCCAAAACGGCAGCTCAAAAAAGGGCACAGCTTACACATAAGTACAACGGTAACTTCCCCGTAGAAGTGTGATAATAAAGTATTAAAGCTTTCGTGACTGCATAAAATGACTCATTGTTTTTTTTCGGTAAAGTCACGTATGTAGAAATACAATAAAATTATATTAAAACAAAAAAACAATCACGGCGTTTCGATCACAACGCAAGCGATCTTCATCAGGTGTCAAGAACAAATCACGGAGGTAAATACAACAAAAAGATGAGAGACGAGAATTCAACAAACCTGAAAAACATTATGTGAAGCACATCCAGTCAGGCCAACAACACAGTTAGACACTTCCTGGCGGACCACGAATTTCAGGAGAGTGTTAAATTTCGTATTCAACCTTTGGATTGCACATACCAGCATAGATAGAATGAAAAATACGAGGTTCTACATACGTGACTTTACAAAAAAAAACAATGAGTAATTTTATGCGGTCACGAAAGCTTTAATACTTTATTATCACACTTCTACGGGGAAGTTACCGTTGTAATTACGTGTAAGATGTGCCCTTTTTTGAGCTGACATTTTGTATTTACAAGAGGTGGTCATTTTTTGAGCTGCCGTTTTGTATCTACAAGAGGTGGTCCTTTTTTGAGCTGCCGTTTTGTATGTGTAAGATGTGCGTGTTTGAGCTGCCGCTCTCGCTCTGGCCCCTCCCCCCCTCCAACCGTATTTCCTATTTAACCTTCTGTTCATCCCTCCGCCCCCCCCCCCCCCCTCTCTCTCTGCCTCCCTGTCCGTCTTTCCTCCCCCCTTACCTCTTGGTGGACATGTATATGTATTTCTACTGACCTTGTACCTCGTATTTTTATTCTATCTATGCTGGTATTTGCAATCCAAAGGTTGAACACGAAATTTAACACTCTTCTGAAATTCGTGGTCCGCTAGGAAGTGTCTGTGTTGTTGGCCTGACTGGATGTGCTTCACATGTTTTTTCAGGTTTGTTGAATTCTCGTCTCTCATCTTTTTGTTGTATTTACCTCCGTGATTTATTCTTGACACCTGATGAAGATCGCTTGCATTGTGATCGAAGCGTCGTGATTGTTTTTTGTTTTTTTGTTTAAATATAATTTTATTGTATTTCTACACACGTGACTTTACCGAAAAAAAAATGAGTAATTTTATGCAGTCACGAAAGCTTTAATACTTTATTATAAAAATATATTTTTGTATTTTGTATGACCATGAAGTTTGTTACGTCAACCCGCAACACACCTGAGTTAAGCGCTCTGCAATGCTTAGAGCTGTTCACAGCGTGCCGGGAGATTTTAGGTGGCGCGTCGCTCCTGGCCGATGAAGCCATTGGTTTCTCGGAGTTTCAATACATATCCGTGCGAAGAACGGGTAGAATGGCTATCTTAAATATGAAGCAGAAAATTACATCTGTTTGTTTGTGTGAAGCAGCAAAACCTCTCCAACGCTGAGCTTTGGCGTCATGAAATTTTCACAGCTTATGCTGTTTGGAATTTCTAAGTGAACGCGACTATTTTCAGCTCGCCACGTCATTCATTCCAGAGTGGCGAAAATCGACCTTGCGTAGAAGTGGATTAAGGTTAAATTTCCTTGAGTGAAAACAACCGATTTAGGTAACTTGATTTGTTTTGGCTTTTTTCCTTCTTGCAAGCATCAACATTTAAGGGTTTTTCAGTGAAATATAAGGTAATATGAAATATATCCAAGACAAGAATACAAGTTCCGGGCGAAGCCGGGTAGTGAAGCTAGTTACTAATAAACCCCAATGATCCAATCAAAATGAGGGATTTCGATCGGACTGTTGGGGGGGGCACGTGCCACCCCACCCCCACTGGCTCCACCACTGTCACGGACTGGCATGCTACACAGGTGATGGTGTGTCCAGACCCACGCCTGGCCACGTTCACCTTCTCAGAATTAATGCTTCCTCACTCCACCAAGCAAATTCATTGAGGATCAATCAACACAGCCGAAGTTGTGTGTCTCTATCTCTCTTCCCGTGGTTGCGTGGATTTCCTTCCCGATACCCGGGGTTCCCCTCCACATGTAGAGTGTGAACACCACCACGCGTCTAGGGTGAACACCGCCACGCGTCTAGAGTGAACACCGCCACGTGTCTAGAGTGAACACCGCCACGCGTCTAGAGTGAACACCGCCACGCTGTTGACGAGCCTCACCTTGTGATGTCGGCAGGTCGCTTCTAAAAACAAAAGCAGCACAGCAGCTCAAGCGGGCCTGGCCTGGTAAAAAAAGAATGAAATAAAAACTGCGTGAATATTTAAAAGTAAAACAAAGTGACAAAGTGGCGAGCCGAGTGAAGACAAATTAAACTTAAGCGATAGAATTGAAGCAAACGCGATCAGGCGAGGGCAGGAGGCAAGGCCCCGGGTGGCTAGGCCCCGCGCTGTAAAGTTCCAACCTGGACATCGCTTCCATGCTCGCTGCTACTCAATTGACATCCCTACGAGAGAGACAGCGAGGCTCTACCTCTGTAAACAACAACCACCACCACAACCACCACCACCACCACTACAACCACCACCACCACAACAACCACCACCACAACCACCACCACATCAACCACCACCACATCAACCACCACCACAACCACCACCACAACAACCACCACCACAACCACCACCACAACAACCACAACAACAACCACCACCACAACAACCACCACAGCAGCAACCACAACCACCACAATAACTACAACAACCACCACCACAACCACCACAACAACCACCATGACAACCACCACAACAACCACCACCACAACAACAACAAACACCACAACAACCATTACCACCATAACAACCACAACCACCACCACTACAACAAACACCACCACCACAACAACAACCACTAGCACAACAACCACTACCACAACAATCACCACCACAACTATCACCACAACAACCACCACCACCACAGCCACCACCACAACCACAACCCCCACAACCACAACCACCACCCCACAACCACTACCACAACAACCACTACCACAACAACCACTACCACAACAACCACCACCACAACCACAATCACCAGAACTACCACCACAACAACCACTACCACAACAATAACCACCACAACTATCACCACAACAACCACCACCACAGCCACCACCACAACCACAACCCCCACAATCACAACCACCACAACAACCACCACAGCCACCACCACAATCACCAGAACCACCACCACAACCACCACCAAAACCACAACAACCACAACAACAACCACCACCACAACAACCACCACAGCAACCACAACCACCACAATAACTACAACAACCACCATGACAACCACCACAACAACCACCACAACAACCACCACCACAACAACAACAAACACCACAACAACCATTACCACCATAACAACCACAACCACCACCACTACAACAAACACCACCACCACAACAACAATCACTAGCACAACAACCACTACCACAACAATCACCACCACAACTATCACCACAACAACCACTACCACAACAACCACTACCACAACAACCACCACCACAACCACAATCACCA